AGAAACTGAGCAATAATTTTTAGATGTATAATCGGAGTCTTTTAATGCTAGACATGTTTCGGCAGTACAGCTGCCATCATCAGTAGTAGATAATATAGATCGCTTTTATAATACGAGAGCAGCTGCTTCTAACAACCTTTACATTAAACATACGAGATTTTATATTCAACAAAAATCCTTTTCTCGTTTAGGTGTAAGACTATAATATATCAGCAAACTATCAGAAATTTACCGAAAAGTTTTAAGCATTAAGTCAAGCAGCGTTTATTTAGGAGCCTGAATAGTGAGGGATATTTTATCAATATTGATAATCTACTTTTTCTTAAACAATTTGTACTCTGATCATGGCATGATAATTCAAAACTTTTCCATATTTTTTATTCCATCTTGATCTTGTAAAAAAATTATTTTTCTATTCAATCTCATGTATGAGTGAGTAAACTTGTTTTTTAATTATTAGGAATCTATAGCTTGCACTTTATATGCAATATTTAACAGGGCTCTCTTTAAACTAGCTCTGCTCAATAAGACATCACTGTATTCTTCGATTGCACGTTAAGTCATCGCGGCCATGTTGGTACCATTTAACAAAAGATTTCTCATAATTAGCATCCCGTTGTTAACGGTACCACAATGGCCGTAAATATCGTTAAAATAAAATGAAAAGAATAGTATTGAAAATTTTGAAAAACGTGATCTTTATATCTCTTCTTAAAACTTAATTATTTTATATAATCTTCATTCTATACCACAAACCCGCCTAGATTAGCTATACTATTTTTTGGCTAATGCATTATTCTAATCGACATTAATTGATGGTTTGCAAGCATTCCCAAGAGAGTTAAAAGACAAAAACATGGCGGCCATTGTGGTACCGTTAACATTGGATGCTAATGAGAAATCTTTTGTTAAATGGTACCAACATGGCCGCGATGACGTAACGTGCAAACGAAGAATATCTCTCAATCAAAAGTTGAAATTATTGGCTTTCAGTAATAGTATAGGAAACCGCACGATCTCGAGTACAATTTGGAAATTAATAGACACGAGTAATGTTTTGAARGTTTAGGCGAGTGCAATTAAAGAGCTTATTAATTCCAAATTGTACGAGAACATCGTGCGATTTTTTGTTTATAGTTCACCCAACAAAATTTCAGTAAAAAATGCGAAGCGACGCCGT